GTGATTTTCGCAAAAATCTCCAGGTAACTTAAATCTAATGACAAAATGAAAAACATACCTGGTTTGGATGCAAAATTGCAAGCGCTGTTTCACTTTACGGGTAGCATTTTACATCGTTTACGCTGGTCTTCAACCGCCATCTTCAAAACACGTGAGGCTCCTTCTTTTCTGGTAATTATCGGATAGAATTATGGGTAAATTACCCGAGTATAATCGAACAAATAACGAGCAAAGTGAAGTGAATACGAAAATTCCCGGTTTTTGAAATGGCCGCCATGTTGTGACGTCACATGGTTATCAAATCTGATAACGATCCCGGACTGTGTACGTATGCGTAACATGTATTTAGCGAGAGTATTAAACATTGTGTTGGATGCAGTCTTGTCACGACTTATTTGACCATCGATCACATTAAGTGTTTCCGCAAACATTGGCCGGGATACGTCGGTGACTATTTTTGCCGCTTTTCGACGCTTCTGTTATTGCTGTGAGGATTTCTATTTGTTTGTTTGTTTGTTTGTTTGTTTGTTTTTTTGATTAACATAAGCGAGTTTTGTTTTCTAATCTTTCTAACAATTTATCGCGTTATGAAAATACTGCTCCTCACTGTGATTTATACAGAATACAACTTCGCTCCCGGACTCGCTCCTCGGGCGTCCGTGTGACCCAAAATGAGCCTGCTCGTAGGCTATGTGGTTCATCGCTACGTGACTACTCAGTAAGAGGATATATTTTTTTTCCAACTAGCCACCAGCATAATGCGATAATGCCGCCTACAAAATCGCATTCAGTTCATGAAAATTTGGAACTGTCGAAACGGTGGCGAATAGTTCCGTCGGTTTATCTGAAAAATGTTGAATTTCCGAAATGCGAACCATTTTATCGAAAATTTCGGAAATTCTTAATTCGTGCAATAATCAACTTGAACAGAAATTTTGAGTATCTTCTGCAGTTTTTTCTCTTTTCCGGAAATTCCGAAAATGCTTTGAGTTCACCACTGGAAATTTCTGGAAAATCAAACCGGATTTTTTTTCCTCAAATGGAAAGTGCCAAACGTGAGAGGTAGCCCCAAATTATGCTCAATATTGCTAATCATTGCCTGGGGGGCCTCCCATATGAAAAGAACGGGGGAGCTCTTCGGAATTGAGAATCCTTAAAGGGTACCAGGATCCTGTTTTGTGGGCGTCGCTTGAATTTTTTTTTTTTTAAACCCCTAATAGGTACCAATTTTCCACAACACATTAGCTGCTGTCATATTCTTTTTGCGGCTCAATCCCTTAAACAATACCGCGAAAGCTTCCGCTGTGGACATTTTGATGCTGAACAATCTAAAAGATACCAAAGCGGCTTTCAGATTTCTAGAAGGTACGACCAGCACCCCCGTCGTTTTTATATAGAAGCGCATGCCCCCTTCCCGCCCGGGAATCGTTGCTCTGTCAAGGTCCTTGAATCCTGATAAAGACTTGCGCTCTCCGTTCAACAGTTGAGGTCCTAAAAGTCTACTAAACCCAGTAGGATACAAGATTCTTCGCACAGTACAGAAGGGAACGAATTTTACAAAACGAAAGTATCCATCGGTCTTATTAATTGTTCAGTGCCAAAGACGCGGAAACAATGTTCCAAGGGAACGATATTTTCTAGGTAGATGTACTTGCCTTAAAATATGTGGTGGGCAATTTCGACTCACGATGCTACTATTTATAAGCAGAGGATGAAGATCTAAACTTTCAACTGACGAAGTCTGTTGATTAAAAGTTAATCTGATATTATGCTACTATTTTAAGGCTGTGCTACTATTTATTATAAGAAGAAGACCAAAGATTAAACTTTCAGCTGAACAGGGTGTTAATTAAAAGTTAATTCTGGAACTTGTCTTCCCCATTGATTGCTGCTGGACTCTCTATTCCGTCTTTGAGTATTCTTAACTGCAATGTGCGTCTACGCTACTTTATATGCATACGCCTCTGTTCCGTCCTTGGTGATACATAACTTTTCGAATGGATTTTACAGGTTCTTCTATGATCACAGCAATTATGCCGACTATATCAACCAATCAAAGGCGTTAAAAGAGCAAAATAGCGAATGCACGTGCACAGTGGGTTGTTAGTTGTTAAAGTTCGATCATAGGTACGTATCACTTCCGTAGTTTTTCAAATTGCATATTTTATCATGCATAGTCACATTTTCTTCAACTATTTACACGATACCTCAAGCTGACTCAAAGCAACTGCTAAAGGTACATTAGCATTTACTATCTCATGGATTGTATTTCTCTAAGCACATGATTATTTGATGAAAAATTTGTGATGAATCTTGATGTCAAAGGAAGTTTCGCCGAGATGGATCTCTGACGCCTTCCGCATGCGCGGCATGTCAGAATGCTCTTAAAAGCCTTTCGAAAGTTTCGTAACTTCCATGCGTACACGAAGGGATTGACGCTAGAATTTGCCAACACTAGCATCCATTGAATATTCCTCGCCCAGATAATAAACAAACATTCGCAAGTAGAGCAAAAGTTGATGATGTAGATGCAAACACAAGATGGCAAATAACAGGCTAAGAATAATCCCAGTGCAACAGAAAGTGTCTTTGTTGTCTTTCTCTCTCTTTGCAAAGCTTGTTTCATCACCAAGTTTCCTCTTGTATTATTAAGCCAATTACTCCACGTGTGGATTTGACATCTCAGATACTTGCAAATCTTCACGTTGGTAAAGGTGAGCACAGCGAAGGTGACGGCTATAGCTGTGTTGGCAAAGACGAAGCGGAACTTGTTGTCACCAACGATGAGGTAAATCTGTGATACCAACACAGACGCAGTCCACAGCAGAACCGACACTAAGAATGCCCTGAGAGGACTCAGCTTTGTTCTGTAGACCAAAGGGTATGCGATGGCTACATACCGATCTAACGCTAAGGCAGTCAGGCTAAGCAGCGAGGCGGTGCACGTGACGAAGTATATCATGTGCATCCAGACCCTGTATAGCGAGTTTGTTTGTTTTAGTCCTTCCGTGATGGGATACACTGCGCTCATCGGACAGGCAAGAAGCCCAACAAGGAGATCCGCAAATCCAAGGCTGGCCACGAAGTAGTTAGACGGCGAACGAAGATTTTTGTTTGGATCTAAAAACACGGCAAGGACGACCAGAAGGTTCCCACCAGTGGCGACGGCAGCTGATAATATCGTGAAGGACACCGTCGAAAATGACAGATAACCTGGCGCTGTAATGTTAACGCAAGGATATTTGTTCAAAAGGGACATTCTGATAGGCGACAACGACCGTAGAGATGTGTCAAATTATGTAAACTTCAACTCAACCAGCGATGTCGAAAGTTATACTGAGGAAATGTTTCATCAACGCCGATCGTAAAAAGTTTGAGTGCTGAATGGTGTTTCCAGCGAGCTGAATGTGTTCGGCTTAGTGTGAATCGAACTGGTATATTTCTCGACGGATGATCACCACGGGCCAAAATGTAGTCAGTGTTGCTTAGGCAGGACCGGAAGCTGGGCCTTACTTCTAGTAGCATTAGTGCAGGCTCTACGAGCGCTTAATGTTTTTTGTCTTTGTACAACAGTCCATATATACATGTACTGCAATAGTTTGAAATTCTAATCAATTGCAACTATTTATAGTCTCTAAAGTGACGTGTGTCAAATTCGTCGGTATAATTAGATCAAAAATTTAATCAAATGTACATCGGCATATAAGCCTGGAAGCCATGCGTGGGCTCTACAGCTCATGTTAAAAGAAATAAACGACTTCTCCTTCCTTTTTTAAACTGTTCTACATGTAGGAACACGTTTGACTCCTTCCGTTAGTACGCTATCGGGAAGACGTGTTTATCTATCATTTTTTATATAGTTAACACTTCGTTTTGTAGGAAATGGAACACAAAGCTAGGTTTAATGTGATATCAAAGTTTTATTAATCGTATTCACTCTGCGCGACTTCGTAAAATCGCGTTGCAGCGGAAAGAGGCATACTTTCAATTAAAACTTAATGGGTGTTTTTTTTGAATACCTTTTAATGGCCTCTTGGTAAGTTTTGTTTTTCGGTATTATTTTTAGTCCGCAATGATATCGTACAAACGCCGGCCTTTTAGCAGCGTTTTTTCTTACATTTAATTTATCGTAATATGAACGCATTGCAGCGCAAAGTAACATTTGCTTTAGATATCTCAATAGAAAAAAAACAAAAACAAAAAAAAACAGGAACATAGAAAATATGGAACATTCCGCAACTTGCTAGAACACTAAAATACTTCCACAATGTACAGTGCATAATGAACTCAGAGGTTTATGCATAGAGTGCTGCAGCTGTCTCTCGTAGCAAATTAATGCAAGTCAGCGACGTGCAAACTGAGGTGGAACACATTGCAAGCAAATGAATGTGGACTAAACTGATGTTAACATGTTTACGGGTTAATTTTGATTCAATACTGAGATAATAACCTACATTGGGTAGCAATTACTTTAAAAACTAATTTCATTTTATTTACTTTTTTTTTTTTCTTGTTTTCTTTATTGTTTCGGTATATAAATGTTCCATGCGCTGCGCCTGTTTTTAGAAACTTCCGCTCAATCATGTGATATCATAGAACGAAGTTACAGCGGAAATAGTTTTCTCGCCTTTCAGATTCATTTTTGGTTTCTAATACTCGGTAAAGTCGGTGAAATTAATTCAACATCCCTGCATTTTGTCAGCCTCGATTAAACGCGATCTCGGACGAAAATTGGACTGGCTAGAAGGGAACAATGAATAAAGTCAGAAATAATATTAACTGATGGGGAACATACTGAATGCCGGATGAGCAAGATGTTCCAGACAAATGGAGTCGATTAAGTGCGTGTTAGCTTCCCTGTTTATTAAAAGAAAAAAAAGGAATAGTCAGCTGGCAAAACTCGTGAAAATATTAAACTTTCGCACTTTCTCACATTCCTAGAGAAGACAAGCTGGAAACGAGAAAACGTAAAGAAAAAAAGAAAATTAAAGGGAAAACGAAGACAGCGGAAAACGTGCCAATGTTTTGCTTATGATATAACTTCTAAAGTATCAAATCCCTCTGCTAATAAGTAAAACATCAGCTTCACGTTGTTTTAAAAAGCTTTATTAATTTTTTGTTTGTTTGTGTGTTTTCCTTTTTTCTAGCGCTCACTGGACACAGGTCAACCGAGAAGGCAAGATATCGCTTATGACGTTGCTATCATTAGTATTATTATTATGTATATATAGATTTGCCCTGTCAGTGAAAGCCATGGATCGAAGGTGCACGAGGCCAATGCAACAACTAATAGGCCATTTGCGAGTTGCCTTTAACTCTTTGTCAGAACGTGTCTTCGTGTGAAACTATTCATGTAAAAAAATGTTTTACCCTACAGGTTCATTTTCATGCAATTGAAACTCATTTTCATATCAAAGGTTTTGCACGATGACTGGTTTTGAAAAAGAGGCACACGGTAACTTGGAAATGGATTCAGCAGTATTATGCTGCGCTCCTTGCTGCGAACATTTTGGTTTCCAGGAGAAGAGTTATGCATGCAGGCACTTTTGTGCCAGGTTGAAGTCGGAAAACTGTTCGAGTCGGAACTCAGTTTAATGACGAGGATCGGTTCATTAATAGCGAGTTTAAGAAAACCACGACTGCAACGGCAACGGGAACGTCGCCAAACAATAGCAGAACAATGGCTCTGCACGTGCGCTATAATTCATGGTACATTTCTTTGCCGTCCTCTGGAAAACAACAATGTGAAATGACCAAATTCTGCGTTGTCTGGAGAACGTGAACCGCGACGGCTAATTTTTTTATTTCTTTTTCAAATGTTTCGCCCATCTCAGGTTCAGTGTCGTGATAGTTTTGACACTGAGAAACAAAGGAAAATGACTTTAGAGTATCGCCAGATTTGTAGGTAAAATATAAAATCATTTTTTAATCGACGTTGTCCTCGGCGTCGCGTCGTGGTTTCTTAAACTTCCTACTGTCTTGTTTATTTCTTCATTTATTTATTCTCCTAACACTAGATGCATTATGTATACAGGTATGCGTTGACTTCCCTTTCGATCCTTTGAATTCGCGATTTGAACTTACCTTCGGAACCATACATCTCTACTTCCTGGTTACATACGGCCTACGTTTTCAAATTGCTGTTATTTTAGACGGCAACCATTTAGCACAAAATTTCAATAAAACCTTATCTGACATCCTAAAATACTTCAATATTTAATTCAGTTTGAAAAATTCGTTTGTTTGTTTTGTCTCCTTGTTTGTTTCTTTCTTAAAGGGGCTCAGTCACGGTACTGAGTTATTTTGGCCACATACAAAATTACGTTTAAATTGTAGGAAACCTGAAAATAACAGTTTAATAAGATAGAAAAACACCAAAGAGATAATGATAAACCATAAAGGGACAAGGATGGCTAAGGATGGAGAAGATTGACACGGATTACAAACGACGAATTTGAAAAATCGAGGCTAAACTTTTCAATATGCGCAAACCGTGACTGAGCTCCTTTAATATTAATATTATTATAGTTTATGAACTGGTACTGTAATGAGTTAATTTTCTTTTCTTCAAGTTGTTGTAAACAACGTAATCGATGTAAGACGTGTGAGCTGTAAAATATTGTATTGTAACTGGTTTTGTGTGTTTCATTAAAAAAATAAAATTAAAGAAAAATCCATGAATATTTACCTGAAATGATAACAATAGAATAAACAGCAGGTACTTTTAATTGGCATATCTTAGCACAAGTCTTGACAAATATCCACATCATGTTATTTGTAATAAGTTCCAGTTTACCTCCTACTATAGTCCTTAATTTTTGTGGCATTAAATCTTCCTGCGGCAATATCAAATGAGGCAGGATTGTTGACGCCCAAAGTTGGCATTTAATTGTTCATTGAACAGGTCAAATGGCCTTGAGACATGCAGGGAATAGAAGGGTGCCCTCAAAAGCCTTCCAGAACCTTTGTCACTGCTCAATGGATTTGTTATTACGACTGAGAACAAACTCGATGTCTCTCACCCAGGGAATAAACGCGTAGCCATATGTAGAACTTAAGTTGACGATGTAGAGAAAAAAAGATAAAACGGGTTTGGTTTTTACTGTTAAAATGGCACAAATCGAGTTTTGAGTAGCGATGCAATAGACGTACTTTTAGTAACCGGTTATAACTTTCTAAGTTTAAGTCACAGAAACCTATTCGTAAGCCAGTCTTTACAGACAAAGTTGATTCGCTGGGGCGAGGCCAGCCTGTTTCAAAGCCTCTTTGTTGCAGCTTGCTGCGTAACCTGGTTTCGTCGGGTATTTTAATTCCCCATCACACCTCGTCGTCGCCAGGTTCCGCGATCTTTGGCGGCCTCCTCCGAGTTCGGCCTCTAATTCATTTTACATTAATTTTTACACCCCGTTCACGCCAACATGTTAAACCTGTTTAACAGTGGTTTAACTAAGCAAGGTGAAAAAATTAGCCGCTTATGCAGTGTACACCCCACAACTAAACAAGGTAAAAACCTGTTTTATTAAAATATCTTAGCAAGATGGCTTGAAATTTGTCTTCTCAAAATGACTACAAATTGTGCAATCGACAAATTGGACAAACCCAAACCTAATTTACTTAAACTAATTTAATTGGTGTGAATGGAGCATTACTGATTGAGAGCTGTAAAAAAAGGTGTAGTTAAGGGGTATAGCTAATATATTTAACACTCAAAGAAGCCTAAGAAGTCTATTAACTGTGATAAAACACGACGGGTATTTGAGAACACGAGGGAAATGAAGAAATCAGAAGCCGCAGGCGAGTGTTTTCTGCCTCTCAGGTGTTTTCAAATGTCCAGACGAAGGACTAAGTTATGATATGGATATAGATTTTACACGCCGCGAGTAGAAACAACAAAGCATACAGATCGACAAACTGACGCAATCTAATACCGTTAAAGTGCTACATGCCTCGTCTTCAAAACTTTCTGCTGCTTCGCAGAGAACTCCATCACAAATTTCTTCAAAGGAAATGTTTTTCGCCATCTCTAACACAAATATTGACTAAAGGTGATGTGGCCAAAAACAGCTGAATAAAACGCGCTTTTACTATGTTTTATATTCTGATAAAACTTGGCTTTTGACCAATCAGAGCGCGCACAGGGTCCTATCTATATTAAAAAAGAGATAGTCTTAATTTTTTTAGACTTTTTGTTATCTTTTTTCGAACCATCGTTTGTCAAAGCGATCACTTCCTTAGTGGTCGTTGATGAGATTTGTGTACTACACAGAGCAATAGCTTCCAAATAATATATCATACAGGAACATAGGCAGTCTTAATTAAATTAGAAAAACAAGTAGCAATTTAGAGCTCTCTTGTTGTCCAACAAAGAATTGCAACTACACGTACCTGGCTCACACGTAAACAGCTAATAAAGCCAAATATGTATGGCAGTGTAGATGTAAGTTTCGTTTGATATATCATATAGCAACAGTTACAGTAGATTGTCTATGCCAATCTACAATCCACACATTTCATGACTAGACTTCCCTGAACTGAAATAGGAGGTCTATTTAGAGTTTGTAACCTTACCTTCTGTAAGCTTAAATATTACTTATATGCAAATGTTATTTTATTCGTAAATACAGGTACAAGGGTAAATGTTTACAGTCTCCATGGTATATAATATACACAAACGCGCATTGTGTATCGAACAAATATAAAATGCACTGTTTAGTGTTTTTTATCCTCACTTTTTGTAAGACAAAAGATGCAAATGTTATCTTACTTGTAAATACAGGTACGAGAGTGAATGTTTACAGTCTCCATATTATGGTATAAAAAGATACAAAAGTGCATTGTGTATCAAATAAATACATGAAGAGCACTGTTTTAAAACAAAATTCACTCAGTTTATGACTTTCCCGTTACCAGTAGCTTTGATAGTAGTTCTATATGTAAAGATTTTAAGGAAAACGACCAATTCTTTAAGTTTAAAAGACATGTTTCGACAGAACTTCTGTCA